TCAAAGACAAGTCAGGCGCATTGCTGTGCGATTCGATGCAAAATATAGTTCTGCTTGAATGTTCTGACATCAGCGAGGGTCTCCCTCAAGGGATTGCAAAAAAAAAACGACTGCTGGACACACCGGCATAGTACTGTTTCGAAGTCGTCGGAATTTGAGGCGATGAGCCTGTGGTGGGGCGCGATCTAGGCACGTCTCAAAACCCGAGGAGGCTTTCCAGCTCCCAGGCCTCCAACGTCTCCAGAGATTAGCTGTTATATACTATATAGTATATACTATATATTATATACTATATACTATATATTATATATTATATATTATATATTATATATTATATATTATATATTATATATTATACATTATACATTATACATTATGCATTATATATATATATAGTATATGTATTATTGGTAAGATTCCCCAAAAAGCAACCGCCTGACCCGCAATCACCGACAGTAAGGTTTTGTCCGGGAACTGGTGCTCACCCGACAACCCTGCACGCCCGCCGCATAAGGATGACATGCGGAACTCGAGAAGTGTACTAAGTCGAAGCATCTCCGAGCTCCGAGAGTTAAAGTTAATTGTCCATAAGTATCCCTGAGAAGAAGGGGTTTCTTGACACGTTTCGTGTACCTACACTCCCCAACTTGCACCTTGAGGCGTGGCTTCGGGGACTGCCTCTGCTAGCGGTGTGGGCTCCCTGCGGATGCTTATAGGGTTTAGGGCTTTAGGGGTTTAGGGGTTTAGGGTCTAGGGCAAAGAAAACCCGACGATCATCCATGGAGACCAGATGCAAAAAAGACTTCGGGGTTCCATCTGTAGGCGATAGTACATTAGCGTGATAGGTCTTAGATTGACCAACCATGGCCGAATACTTTCTACATAAGCATACACACACATATACATATATATATACACACACACAGACACACACACACACATACACCCCTAATTACACATATACATATGCACCTCGAATCTCATCGCAACCCTACAGAAGCAAGTTCGTGTCATGAGAGCTCTGCAACTACACGTCAAAATTGGATACACTGTAATTTTTGCCGCCGCCCCCTTCTAGGTCTCCGGTTCACAGGGTTAGACTGTAGACTTTAGGTTCATTGAGTTCAGGTTGGTGAGCTTTGGGATTGAAGTTGGGGTGGAGCTTTGCTTTTACATTGAAGCGGCAGTGGGTGGATTTGGTCATCCATAGCTTGCTGGGTGCGACACAGCACAGAACACAGCATTGGTAAGCTGGTAACAAGACTGCCGCTGGGTTGCCTGCTGTGCTTAGCAGCTGCGCGCAGTTCATCTGCGGGGCAATGGAGAAGGGAGGCATGGGCACTGCAGGTGATATGGTTGCGTTTACATATCAATCAATCTCCCTGTATCCTGCTGTAGGTAGAATAGAACTTCATCCCGTTATGGAGTCGAATCACAAGGCACCGAGATAGATTGACCCTCATGTGCTGAGCCTCAAGGTGAGCGACCTGCGTGGGTCCAGCTCACGGCCAAGCTCCAGTGGTGGTCGGAATCCCAAAAGAAGCACTTGCCCGCCTGGAGCCCAGATGGGCACCGAAGCCTGGACCGGGTGGAGCCGGGCGGCTCGATAGAGCCCAACAGTCGACAGTCGTTCCTTTATAGATTGAGGTAACAGAAAGAGCCAAGTATCCCGGCCCAATGCATCGCTAGGCCGCTAGTCTGGCATAGTATGTATCTCTGCAGCAGCCGGTGCCCCGCATGTCCCCATCCCAAACCCTGCGAGCCCACACCGATATTCAAGCATGTTGTGCTAAATTATAGTATATTGTGGCACTATAGAAAAGAAAAATTCCAGCTCAATGCGTCCTCATCACGAAAGCTCATGGAAGATGCCCTCTGCAGTCTCGGCTCAAGGGCTCAGGGTCGGTCGAAGCCGACCGTGGCTGGAATGCATCCATGCCTCGGTTTTCAGTTTGGGAAGCTCGGCTCGCTTTGGCTACCGACGGCGCGTGATTTTCAGATGTTGTAATTTGATAAGGCCTACCTTCTATTGGGGTGCAGGCATGCCTCCGTGATCAGTGCCGGCTCGTTTTTTTTTTCGAGGGGCTCCAACCGAATGCTGTACGGATGTCGGCAACGTGGAGCATGCTTCGTAGTGCTTGAGGGTGTTAGTTAGCAGGCCTTGGACTGAACCAGACCTCGAGTCAGGAGCAATTCCTGCTTTTGCGAATGCCCGGAGCGGTGTCTGGGCATGCATCTGGCTATTCTGAACCCTGCCTGTTCTCCCATGTTAAGCGTGAGCAGCTAGGGCAGTGGCTGTGGGCCTCGGCCGGCCTAGGCCCTAGGCTCGGGGTAGGTGCATAGGCCTCGGCCCGAAAGTACATCCAGGCGAGACGCGAACATCGAGCTCGTAGAAGAGCTGAAGAAAGCCGAGCACCTCGGAGTGGTATTTGGTCAGTCTTCTTCCCACCGCGGCGCACCAGCTCCATGCCGTCTGCCAGAGTCTCGATCAGCTGTGCGAGAGAATACGTAGACTAGACCCTGCGCATACATACATGCATGCATAAGTCCATGCATGCATGGATGTACGAACGAGATGACGGATTGATAGTTTGATAGTTGATAGATCGATCGGTCGACAGACAGACAGGCAGGCAGACAAACAGATGGAGACATAGATATGTACTATATACGGTACAGACCTAGATGTAGGTATACATACATGTATATGGAGAGACAGGAGCATTACTGTTGTCATCAAGTCACTTGAAAGGCTGGCCAGGGGATGCTCTGCATCGGACGGGGGAGAGCCGCATCCCGAACCTGATCTTGGCCTGAGTTGCTGGGCAGGAAGGAGGCAAACGTAGATTGCCTTTGCATGCCTACCTTATCTGAGTCATGTGGGAGTCTTGGCTGCTTTTTTTGCCACGTGTGGGCATGCAAGAGGGGTGGAATGGATCCTGAGCTCCTTCAGTGGTGCACCTTTGCCAGACTTCGGCGAGTCACTGTGCTACTGCTCAGGCCTGGCACCAGCTCCTCTTGTTCGCTCACGAACGCCCTCGGGTGACTTTATAGCCCAGACGTTCCACAGACAAATCTCCCCACAGGAGACTCACAGCAGCTAGGCTGCACTGACGCAGCACTGCTGCACGACCATGCACGACCTTTCCGCGCTAGCATGCTTCCCGGATAGGGCATATCTTTTTGCAGAAGCTAGAGGAGCCCAGAACCAAATCTCAATGTCCTGGAGGCTCACCGAAGAAGCTTGCCAGCATGCTCAGGCGGGCGCACGTGGCAGGGCATTGATCCATCGTTGATGGTGAGCTGACACGATGCTCACACAGCTACAGCCCTTCAACCCCGCATGGGATTAAAAGCAGCACAGAATTTGCTGTGCTTGGTGACTTGAACCACGGGACATACAGTAGTTAAGTCGTTGGTAGCGACACAGAGCTTTACATATATCAGCCATGCTGGACTACCAGGCGACCACAACTCTCTCACAACACACCTTGATGTTGGGCTCTTGTTGACAAGGCTTGGGCTATTCAGTGTTGGGGTCGGGTCGGCAGTTCAGGTACTAGCAGCAGATGTTTCGAGTGTCAGGCCAAATCTGCAGAGCCTGCTGCTAGTGCCTGTTGAGTTGGTGCCAGGATGTTGGAGTCGAGAACCAACCTCAACCTGGATGACGCCTCGAAGGAAAGCATGCCCAAGGAGCGAGAATTGAAATCCACGACACGTGCACGCAAGCTGGGCACATTTGTGCACAGATCAGATGTGGGCGTCTGTGCCTTCGCACATGTCCACGAGTGTGTGCGCACAGACACTCAGACTACAAGTATGCCTACGCCTACATAGCCATAATGGGCCCTACAGTCGTTGGAATGAAGGACGGAAGGGAAGCAAGATGGTACACTGCAGGTTTCATCGGGTGTAGAGTTTCGCCTGGAGTACTTCCTTCCCTTGCGTCCTCAAATCCTCGAGGTTGCTTTTCGCTGCCGGCCCGGCCCAAGTCTCTGATAGCGAAGTCAGTGAGAGCTGCAGCCATGGCTTCCTCACGTCGCATCCAGAGTTACCTGGCGCTTGCGCTTGCTTTGCTCTGGCCCGCAGAGGCTCAACTCACGACAGAGTCGACAGAGGTTTGCGACCAGTCCGACCAGTCCCTGCTGCAGCTTGGCAGTGGCCTGGGCTGTCCTCCGGTACCTCAAGTCAGCTGCCAGAACACGCTCGGCACGATGCACAACGGGCCCACCCCAGGTATGAAGAAGCTGTCCAAGGCCATGCCGGATGTGGACCTAAGCCCTGCGGACTGCTCCTTGTGCAGTACACCCGGTGCCTCTGCTTCCTTGTACAGCATTGAGCGCTTCGACGGTATGGGCCAACGTGCTGCTCACCTTATTGTGATGATGGCACTCGCAAGCCACTTGGGAGTGAATTTCGGTGGGCTACTCCCGCACCCTTCCACAGAAGTTCATGGTGCAGACGTCCACGCATGTTTGAGTGCAGTTGTGGGGAGCGATTATACATCCCTCCGTAAGCAGGTTAGACATGCCAATTTTGACACGTGTTTCTTCGGGAGCCACGTTCTGCTCTCAACATTCGAGGAAGGCCACCAGCCCGTCGGCCAGAAGATTTTGTTTCAGGAATGCGGATTTGGGAAGGATATAGTCCGCTTCTTGACGCCAACTTTCCTGCAAAAGTTGAGACAGCACACGCAGCTACTCAGCCACCCAACGCCGTACTTTGGTCACGAGAAGAGGATTCGCGTGGCCGTCCATGTCCGCCGAGGCGACATCGACGTCTCAAGGCAGACGAATCGCGACATTCCTAACAACGTGTACCTCCAGGTTGTAGAGACCATTCGAAACATGGCTCGGAACATGGCGGAGATCCATGTCTTCAGCACCACTAAGGAGGGAAAGCACGCCAGCAGCGACTTCGAAGCTTTCGAAAAAGCCGGTATGACAGTTCACTTGAACGGTGATGAACTCGGCGACCTGGCCCACATGGCCCAAGCAGACGTTCTTGTCCAGGCTCCCAGCAGCTTCTCCTGGGTGGCCGGCGTCCTGAGTACGAACTGCGTGGTTTCCTTCAAATCTTATCCCGGCGGTTTACAGGACTGGATCTTCCACCACACTGGAAGCTTCAAAAAGGACGATGCAGACCGCCTTCGGCAGTGCATCCAGGATCGTTTGCACAGCACCGGCCTCTTGTGAATCTGCCTATAGCTTTGAAGTACCTCCATGCACACACAGTTGCCTAGTTAGTTTTGAACCTGCGCAGAGTCTCGTTGGTGCCCTTTGTCGAAGACAAGGGTCTCTGCCAGCGGCTCCAATTATGCTTTAGAGTCCTGTGGACAATGGCTTTGTTGGTCAAAAAGACAGTAACGTTTCCGAGACTGATCCGAACCTGCCGCCAAGTGGCCGTCCTGATTTCAGAGCCTGGCCGCTCCGACTCGAGCAGTAGCCGGATATTATATTATATTATACTATATTATATTATATTATGTTATAGTATATTATATTATATTATAGTATATTATATTATATTATATTATATTATATAATACATATATATATACATATGTATATATACAAGGATACACACACACATACATACACACACACAATGCACGCTTAGGGCGTGGGGTTTAGGGCTCAGGGCTTAGCTTAGGGCTCAGGGCTTAACCTAGGCATATATATATATATATGTATATATAGAGAGAGAGAAAGAGAGAAAGAGAGAGAGAGAGAGAGAGAGTGACAGAGAGAGGGAAGAGAGAGAGAGAGAGTGGGAGTTGCATATGTTAGCATGTCTGAATGCAATTGTTTCTGTAGGTGGAAGTTTACATGAATAAGCCTCTTCGTCTTCATCATAGTCTTAGAGGATGTTTCGGGTCTCGAATTTCAAGGGAATTAGGGCTGGGGCTAAGTCCAGTTATTAAGAGCTTATAGGATTTGGGGTTTAGGGTCATACTGGGATTTAACGCTCGGGTTGAACTCGCGGGGGCTTACAGAGGTTCTTATGGGTTTTCATGGTGGTTGACAGATTTCACGAACATCGTGTTTGCAGCAGTGGGCTTGATCGTTGGAACAGGTTTGACGGGTATAATGTAGTATGGCTCTCGGACTACACAGGGGCCAGCTGCACAAGGTGAGATGCTCAAGCAAGCGTCATGAAGACGAGCATTGCAGAAATCTGTGTCGTCACGGGTCCAAATGCTGTCAGGAACTAGCCAGTCCCCAGATACAGCTCGAGTTCTGCTCCCAAAAACGGTGCTTGGGTAAGCTTGTCTTCAGAGTTTAGGCTTTAGGGGGTTTTAGGGTTTCGGGTTCGGGCCATGCATGCCAATCTGCAACGCGTGGGCACGCATGCACGCCAACGCTCCATGCGGCTTCGAGAGCGCTACAGGACCCCTGTATAAGCCTTACTACCCTACAGTGCCCAGATATGTGTGGCTCTCTAAATTAGGGTCCTTGTTAGGGTCTTTGTTTTAAATCGTGTGCCGTACAATTTTGGGTACCTAAAAAGGGATCCTAATTTAGAGAACTACCCATATAATACCAAGATGGCTGGCTCCTAAACCGTAAACCCTATTTCCTAAGCCCTAAATCCTAAACCCCAAATCCTAAACCCTAAATACTCAACCCTGAACTCTAAACCCCATCCGCAAAGCCATGGGAAGAATCGTCTTTCGGGTCCGAAGTTCACGGTTGGTAGTGCGAAAGACGCAAGCCTAGTGTAAGCCCGATATAAAACCCTAAGGGTCGAAAGGATCCCATGGTTAGGTACTGAGGTCTCGGATAGTAGCTATGTAGGTTAGCATTTTGGGGAGTATATGGTTATGAATCATGGAGTACTTGGACCCTTAATAAAAAACGGCCTCTAGCACGATTTCAATCCCTACCGAAAAATGCAAAAAAAATACATGCCCTAATTACACAAGCGGAACTATGGCCAACCCCCTTCACAAAAAAGGCGGGGGCTGACCTGCTCACATTCGACTTCGCCGTTTTGTACGACGACGGGCTCTGCAGGCATCTCCGCCTTGCAGGTTTAGGAGGTTGCTTTTCAGGGTTTAAGGTTTAGGGTTTTGGGTTTTGGGGTAGCTTAAAGATTTTGGTATCTAGTTTTTAATGGTTTAAGTTGTAAGCTGTATTTCGGGCTTCAGAAAATCGAAGTGAAGGAACCTCTCCACAACAACGTCTCCTCGAGTTTACGTCCTGTATGGAGGATGTTGCGAATTCTGTCGCTGGAATCCGTTTTTCTTGTAGAATGGTGCATGAATAAGATAAGGGCCTTAAGAATTAGAATAGGCTTTTGGTGTATCTTATACTCCCCAAAGGGTCTTAAGCACTGTTCTGGGGGATACTTGCCCAAATCATAATAAGGATCCCAATACAGAAACCTTATATGATGCTATATAGGCACCTCGGAACCCTTTAGGCTCTACTGTTAATAAGGAAGCCTACTGTAAGGATCGTAGTATAAACGGACCCTCTAGGTTATACTAAATTTTTATAGGAAGCTCTAAGGATTATCTATCCCAAAGGCTCAAGATAACCCAAAAGCCTTCTGTAGTATGGTCTTGAGACACAATTGCCCAAAAATATGGGACTTTCCGAAATTTAGGGTACCTTATTTTGGGGTCCGGATCATAAGGATCCTACTATTTAGGGTACTATATTGGGGTCCCATACTTTCGGAAACCCCCATATGAGTCCTTAGAGCCTTACCCATAGGCTCCTTAGTAGTTCCTTTTTGGGATTACCTTATAGGATTCTAAGTATGAACCATAAAAAGGAACTACTTAGGAGCCTATGGGTAGGGTCTTGATGATTATTCCGACCCGTGCCGCATCTGAAGAAGTCAAAGGCCACGTGAGGCCTCTGGGTTTGCTTTAGGGGTTTAGGGGGTTTAGGGTTTAGGGGTTTAGGGTTCAGGGCCTAGAGTTTAGGGGTTTAGGGGTTTAGGGATTTAGGGGTTTAGGGGTTTAGGGGTTTCGGGTTTAGGTGTTTAGGGGTTTCGGGTTTAGGGGTTCAGGGTTCAGGGTAGGTCGTCAGTGAGGGTAGACAAATTGTTAAGGATTCCTTGAATCGACTTGGTATGGGAGATAATGCAACTGTAATGTCGAGGTACAGATGCAGCAATCCTAGCTGGGGTTTGTGTGACCCACCTCAATCGTGTGGCTCGACCCTGATTCCGAAAGCATCCAATAAGACCCTATTTCCTAGACATTGCATAGCTGCATAGTGACATAGTGACTAAGCATTACTAAACCACGAAAGGTTGCCTGCAACCCTAAAGCAACAAAAGAGTAGATCATGAGCCTTGCATCATATGGGATAGATCCTGCAGCAGTAGCTATTACGTGGATCCACTTGGTTAGGCTTATGCAGGAGCTTTAAACTGTGCAACCTAGCAACCCCCAATCATCCCTGTTTTTATCTTGTATCCTCCCTCTTTGAGCAATTAAAAGTTGCCCTGAATTTTATTTATCAAAGAATCCTCGAAACCCTGCTAGGAACTCCTGGAAAGAATCCTTCAAGGAAGCGTGTATCGGAAGTTGAAGGCAACCCCAAACCGTAATCCCAAGTCCCTAACCCCTCACCCTAAAACCTTAATTCTCTTGCTGAGCTCATATGCCCAAAGCATATGGAGATTCTGTTTTATAGAGAGGATAATTACTATTGCAAAACATGTGAAATGTGAAGTGTACCCATTCAGCTACGTCACAATCTAGAATCTAGAACCCTTAGCATCAAAACAGCCCAAAAGCCTGCAAAAGCCTTTAAATATGAGTCCTTTGAGGGTAAGGGGAATAAATAATTCAGGGCCTGCTCCTCCACCACCTCGGGGCCATCGGTAGCTCTGTTCACAGGGCGCGGCGCCGGAGCAGCCTTCTACCGCTTGGATTTGATGGCTCTCTTGTTCTTTGGGACTTACCGCAAGGGTCCAAGTACTTAATAATCATATACTCTCCAAAATGCTAACCTACATAACTACTATCCGAAACCTAAGTACCTAGCTACTGGGTCCTTTGGACCCTTAGGGTTATAGGGTAGAGACCTTAATGAATAGAATAGGGTGTTGGGGTATGTTATGCTATAAGTAGAACTACAGTAAGGAACCCCCAAAATAGTATAGGTAATTATTAAGGCCTCAATATTCTAATGGGGATTCGACGGTTCTCGATGGGGGTTTTAGGGTTGAGGGTGTAAGCTTCACCTCAGTGTAGATTTTGGTTTGCAAGGCTTTTGCGGTGTTCCTCAATTGTTCGTAAGAAATTAGAATCAGAAGGCTTTGTAAAGTCGGGTTCGTGGCTCTAAGTACATCGTGGACACCGCAGAACTCTCCACAGTGACAAAATACGCCCTGAATCCCTAAACCCTAAACCCCAAACCCCTAGACCCCTAAACCCTTAAACCCCTAAACCCCTAAACCCCTAAACTTAAACCCTAAACCAATAAACCCATAAACCACTTCCAGCGACCTGGCGGTTTCTTGCCACTGAGCAGCTGCGCGGCCGCCGCCTTGTGGCGTTTGCGCCCTTCCAGCATTGCCTCTTGGAGGATCCATGGGACTTAGTAATTATGGTTATAAGTATACCTTAATTATGGGTTATAAAGTATACTATATAGTAATAAGTATATACCCTGATAATCAACCCTAGTTACTAAGTCCCATGCTCCTTTAAGCTTCTTCCCTAGCGCCCCTCTGCGTGTCGTGGTGCGCGGTCATCTTCGTCGTGGCCGGCAGCTTCTCGCCGCTGTACTTCACGAGCCGCAAGCTTGGTGGCTTGGCTTTACCCACAGGCCCCTAAGTAGTTCCATTTTGGGACTACCTTATAGGATTCTATAATAAATATAAGCCATAGAAGGAACTACTTAGGGGCCTATGGGTAGCAGCTTGTTCGTGGCTTCAATGACCTGCCATTGCAATACGGTTGATGAATCACCCATAATAAGGAATATACCATCATTCCCTTAGTTTATAGGGTCATTGAGGCAATGCAGATTTATATCATCAACAGGAGCGCCGACGATTCAGGGCTTTAGGGTTTAGGGCTTCTGGCTTAAATCCCTGCGGGCCTCAAACCTGAAACCCTAATTAGCCCTAAGCCTACGGTTTTGCAGGGTCTTTGGGCTTAGGGTTTAGGGGTTTAGGGTCTTTGGGCTACAGGTACCGAATGAGCAGGACCAGTGGCCCTAGGTTT